GCATCAGACAATGAAAGAACTGTACAGTGATGAGTCCAACCAGGAAGTTTTTTATGAATTTTGTACGCCCTGTTGTATAGAGCCTAACTATGGGTTCTAAGATTTCATTTGTTGTAAGARACCAAACAGGTAAACAGTACGATATGGTTCAGAGTATAATGGCATTGTATACCATACAATACCATTAGATGGCAGCCCTCTGCCATGTGGTCTACAGTAGCTTCATGGTCATTGCACCAGGAAATGCATCTGACATAAAAACAGTTGAGCTCGTGAGTTCATGCTAGTTCGCTGGCTGGGGCGACCCCTGAAAAATGGAGCAGCCGAAAAGGGGGAAAAAACCACCCATAAACTATCAAGATATCAAATTAAGTTCAACCAAAATTACGAGGCAAACCAAAGACCCCTTAGACTCTAAATCCAGCAGCAATTAATGCACAGCCATTACACAATTGTGTTAAATCAAATTTGGTCTTAATGACCTCCAGCCTTAATATTCAACCCACTCTCTTCTCTAAGTGTCCTCCATCTCAGTCACTGTGAAGCAAAATAAATCTATCACACAATTCCTCCTATTTTACTGTTGATGAGTATTTTTTTGTTGTTGTTGTTCTCAGCTCTTCTTAACTTATGAAGTGCTCCTCTGGTGTATTGTGATATTGTTCATGCCATTTTCATTGAGAATTAAAACGAACTGACACTGTGATATTACCACTGTTTGCTTCTCTGTTAATCAGAACTCTTTTATTTGGACCAAAGAGGGAGACCACAGTTTTTTTTTTCAACAGCCCATCATCCCGCCTCCCTCCATTCTCCCCCATGTTGCTCTTATTCCCTTTCCGTCCTGATGAGATCTGCACTCCAATTAATCCAGCAGACTCCACAGTGGGCAGATGCTAAATGTGAGTTGAGAGAAAAGTAGAACTTTTCCAAAAATAGCAAAATACTTTACTGCCCTGAGCTCTGTGTTGACATTTTTTACCATAAAGGGTTGGATTAGTTAAACACACACACACATCAAAGGATGTAAATTGTTTAAACTAAAGGTGTGTGATGTGGATGTGAACTTCTAATAAAGCATTATAAAAAAGTCACAAGATACCCGACATGACAAATTGAATATTAAACAATGTTGCACAAGGCAAAGATGAAAAAAATGTGACAAAAATATATATTAATACTGTGTTGGAAAAAGTAAATTTACAATTTCAGGTTAAATCAGAAAAGACTAAATGTCACACAATAAAAAGATATTTTAACAGACTGTAAGTAATTCAGCTTCAACAGAGATCAAGCTATAAGTCAGAAATTTTTCACTGGTTCCTAAAGCTCAGATGACATCTTTTATTGTGACATAAATATCAACAGAAATTCCCCCTTTTACAAACTAAAAAGCTAATCCTTGTTGCACTTGTCCACAAGGGCTTGGACCCACAGCTTCAAGATTATAAGGCTTCAGGACACAAGTCTGCCACGCCCACTCTAAAAAACAGATGTCGGATTTACTTAACCATGTTAWGTYACCTGGTTCCACTTAACTGAGTTGAGTAAATTCAAAGCAACATACTCATGTTCTTTGGTTAGAAACTGGGTRTATTCCTTTGGATTCACTSAACTCAGTTAAATRGAACCAGYTGACATAACATGATTAAGTAAATCCAACATTCATTTCTAGGTTTGCTCTATCCTCCTACACTTTTRTAGACATGAACTCTAAATTACTGTTAGCATTCTGTTTTTTCATTATGTTACTGTTAGTATCAACAGTATTGTTACTTTGAGGCTCAAATGTTCAATGTTTCTTAATTCATTTTGGATTTTTGGTGTTAATGCCTGATATGTCATGCAGCCATCGGTAAATAGAAAGAAGCACCTGAGACATAAAATATCAGCTTTATATTTGGAAATATCTAAATGTCTAAAATATAGTAGCTACCTGAATTGCTTGTCTCCAAAAGTAAGTAAATACATACA